ATTTGCTTGCGCTGACAATCGGGTGGCGGCGACCCAATGCTTGTCAAAAAATGACTCGTAAAGGGCCTGAAAGACTAAGGAAAAACGATTAGGAAGATCCATCATCGTCTCAACCTGGGCGTCGAAGACATCCTGGACCTAGAAGTTTGGGTCCATAACCTTCACCGCTGGAAGAAGGAGGCGATCCTTGGGTGGAGGCAGAACCTCAGACACGTCGGGAATGGGAACCACCGGCGTCCAAGTTCCCCCGGTCACCTGTACCTCCTCCTACCAAATCCTCTTCGGCGTAGATGTCCCCGACGTAGACCCAGAGACACCCTTAGAAGGCCTCTTCTTCAAGGCCGAAGAGGAAGTGCCAGCGCTAGCCTTTCCCTTTGACTTAGATCAACTGCTGGAAGGGAGCTAGAGGTTTAAAGAAGCCATTTCTGTACACGAACAAAATAAGTTAGCAAAAAAATAAACAGAGAAGAAATGAAGGAAAAAATGGGTTGACTTAGCATCATAGCAAGTAGGAGGTCGAGTCCAAAAGATTCACCTTCTGCGTTGAGGTGAAAAAATTCTTAAACAGCTTGGAGATTTACAGGATCAGAAAGGGAAATCAGCAGCCCCGACTCCCTGAGGTTGGCTTCAATTAGGAGAATGTTAATGTGACGTTCATTCTCAGGAATTTCAAAGGCTGCAAGAACCTTTGCCCGCCTGTTCCCAATTAGCTTCGGTTGGTCGTGAGTGACTGCACATTGAGGTAATTGTCAGCATTATAAAAAAGGAAGAGAGATGAGAAGAATAATTTTTTACTTTACATATGGTTCTCACTTAATCTCCCAAACGACGTTTGCACTTTTCAGTGTTGTGGCATACAGTCGTCGGGGTGAAAATTAAAGGGTCCCCTGACCATGAAAAACATGGGCTTCCAGCCGTGGGAAGAAGAATGAATGCCCTGGATCAGTTTTCCTAAAATGGGCTTCGATCGCCCGTGACTACCCAAAAAGAACCACCATTCGCACTCGCGGCGTGGCTTAACTTGTATATGTACATAAACTCATCCAGGGGCAGCTCCACATCGAACCGCTGGTTCCACAAGACCAACGCACCAGTAAAGCAATACCAAAAGTTTGGCACTAGCTGGGTGGGGGAGATGCCATGGTAATGGTAAAAATCTTTCACAAAGGGATGAACTAGTAATGTCATCCCTACGGTAAAGGCCCGGGTATATACTTAAAGATACCTGGGAGGGGGAAGGCTAGACCTAACGTTCTCATCTGGAAGAAGGTATTCAAACCATCTCCCATCTATGTGCCAGTCTTTGAATGCCCGAACGATGTCTCAGTTCCGTGTCCTCAGCGCTGTCACGTCGGCAACAAATGAAGGCTTGTCCGGGTCCCTACTCATGACGGCCAAATAGGTGTCGACAAGGGAGGCGCCGACCCCATGTAATGTTCCCCCTTCCAAAGGAACTTCACTGCTGTCATCTCCTTCGACCATGCGGTCGACGCTGTTAGCATCGTTCCTTGGATCGGCCGCATAGTCGTCAACCTCCCTCAAGATAGAGTCATCGCCCGATGAGGAAGACGTCCACGAAGGTTCGGCGGCAGAAGGAGAGTCTGACCTCACAGTGGATGAAGAAGGACCCTCTCGACGACTAGATGGTTTGGGAGCCATTGTTCTACTATAACAAAAAAGATAAGGATAATGAGGACCTAAGTTAAAATCCTAAGTCGAGAGGGTAAGAGGAAACAAGAAGATGATGATCGTTTAAGACCACCAGTGGCTACCAAAGGCATGCGAGTGCCGACGACTCATCAAGCCATCGGTCATTCACAAGAAAAAGAATGACGAACGTTCAACTTGAACCCAGATTTCCCAACTAAACACCCTAAACCTAGAGCCTCAAACTCTCTATAGTCAGCCAGTAACTGAGAAAACTAGCATATAAAAGTCCATATATACGCGAAGTAAGTTTTTAACTTCCTGAGTGTCTATTTCAAGCCTAAGAACCAAGCAAGGAAAGTTGAAAATACACAGAGAAAGAACTACACAAAAATGCGATTGCAATAAGGAGACTTACCGGAGGCTTGAAAGATGGCAAAATCTGAAGCTTGACTAGAAAAATGACCCTAATAATAAAACTTAATCCCTAATGAACTCATTTTATTTCGAGGAGACTTACCGGAGGCTTGAAAGATGGCGAAATCTGAAGCTTGACTAGAGAGGACCTCGCAAAACACCGAAGAAAATGAGAGAAATGGAATGGATGGTTTTGGGAAAATCTAGGCAAAGAAACGACAGTTTTCAGAAATTTGGATGGCAATGGCTTTGGTTTGAAATGGCCTTATAAAAGGGAACAAACCCTCGACTCCTGGCCGTTGGATGGAATCCTAGTGAATCCAATGGCAGGGGCGAACAATCAAGATCGAACGGTAGAGACAAGGGCGGGAAACTGGAGAGACGCGATCTAACGATTCATAGTTCCCTATTCAAAATGGGAAACATCAGCAAAATGATGAGCTGAATCGACGTGACTATTAGCCTTCCTAAGAAGCCGCCTTAATGTCAGTCATTATTGCCTAGGGGTGCCAGACTGGCACCGCCTTTGACAAGTCATCAAACGTGCAAAGGCTTCAAGCATGGATTGCCTGTAAAGGTCGACACCACCTGAGAGGTAGCCTCGACCAGGGGGTAAATGTTGTGGGGTATAACCTTAAACCCCACACGAGGCAATGGTTGGGCACCACGTGGCGCGATTAAAGCATAAAATAATTGAGACATAAAGATACGGAGTTGCAGTAGAGTGCACTTGATAAACGTTGACCTTTAACGGTCAAACAACCCCGCTGAAGGGGTCGACTAGAGGGAACAAAGGCCACGCCACAGAGATGAATGCTTCACTGGCCATGAACGAAGATCCCTTCCAAAGAGCTGAAGGTGACGAACGTCCAGACTGAAGTACAACTATACCCAGATTTGACATGTATTAAATGCATGCATAGTAGGTGATGAAGCTGGTGGAGAAACTCAGGCAGACTGGCTAAAATCTCGGTGATCAGATACTATTGTTCCGGAGTATGGTGAAAAAATCACGAGATTTGATTAGATGATTGATAATTGCCAGAAACGACATGATGTATATAGACAGGGAGAATGGGCTGATGGGGGTTCGGACTCTTGAACACCTCTCCCGCCAGAACTTGTATTTTCTACCCATAATAGTAAAAAGCTCTTAGTGGACGTAGCTCTATATTAGAGTGAACCACTATAAATCCTATGTATTGATCTTATTTCTGTTCTTCTTATTCACATTTAGAGTCATTTAATCCGTGCACAAATCACAAAAACTTATTATTAATTTGTTGACTAGTTTTTACTGTCAACAGTCTCTCTACGACAGTGACAACAAACGGAACGACGACGGTGACGAGAGATCCTCCATTGAGTCGTGAACGCGGATCACGGAGGCACGTAGTAATGCTACTACCTGGAGAGGAGAGAAAGTCGTCGGTGAGGGAGGGAGGGCCGCTGAGGAGGGAGGCAAAGAGAGATAGATCGGAGGAGAGAGAGCCCTTAAGGAGGGAGAAAGACATAAAAGAGTGATCGGGAGGGATGGAAGAGGGGAGAAAGAGAATCATAGAGATTTGAAAAGAAAAGGAAAGAAGAAAGAAAGATACAAACATTATAATAAAGGGTAAATTAGAATGAAAAACTAAGACCTCGTTCGCTTCGTGAATTCGAGTTCTCAATTCGAGTTAAGATGTGACATTTTTTTAGAGCTTTTAACCGTAGCAAAAAAAAGTTAGATGTGACATTTTTTAAGAGCTTTTAACTATAAAAACCTAAAAACTGAAAAATCAGTGAAATAAACGAGACCTAAGTATGGCATATTAATTTCTATACATCAAAATTAGTTATTTAGGATATGCTTAGCCTGTCGTATAAGCATTGTGTGTTGTATTATTTAAGAATAATACAATGTTTGGCAGCATTTCATACATTGTATAATTTAATACGAAATTCAAATTTAATACAATAATAGTGTGATATCTAATACGGATAAAACCATATGTATTAAATCGTATTATAAAATTTAGCTTTATAAAACATATATATTTTACAAATATCAAGAGTCGGGATCGGGTTTCGGGACCGACACCGAGGTTAATTTCGGGATCGAAGCGATGTTGGATCTATATTTTTTTAAAATTACACTTTGGCTCTTTAATTTTTTAAAAATTATATTTTGACCCCTCAAAATTTTAAAAATTATATTTTGACCCCATAACTTTTTTTAATTATATTTTGACTCCAAAAATTTTTTAAATTATAAATTCATCCTTCATTTTAAAAATTACAATTTGACTCTATTTTTAAATTTTTTTTGCAAAAATACCCATGTTGAACAACTATACTTTCTTCCTTGTCTGCTCCCAATGTTGAGTTTGAATTCAAATCGGAGCCAAACTAATTACAATTTGACTCTATTTTTAAATTTTTTTTGCAAAAATACCCATGTTGAACAACTCTACTTTCCTCCTTGTCTGCTCCCAATGTTGAGTTTGAATTCAAATCGGAGCCAAACTACTTTATGATTAGATTTAAATTTTATCCTATTATAAACTAATACGTAAATATAATATGATACTAAACACAGTATAATTTACTACAAACTAAACACCGCATCGTATATAAATTATACAATACAATGCAACGTGCCCTAAATTCCACAAGTTTCAAATATAGGCATATTTTCTACCATTTCTCTCTTTTTCAATTAGGCTAAACGCAAGCCCAAATCCAACCCCGACATACAAAATAGCCCATTTCCAGCTCAGCACATCTAATTCCAACAATCTATTTATAAATTTATCAAACACCCAAAAACCAAACCTTATCCAGTTGGGTAATCCAATGGCAAAATGCCACGTAAGCAACCACATCTCAGAGTATCCAAATCTAACATCCTGAAGCCACAAATTGCTCATGTGGCTGCTGTGCAGATTTGCTACACTCAGTGGTTTATAATCATTTCATTCTCTCGCTGCAAAAATTATATTCTAATTTTTTTTTTCTGTCAAAAATAAGGCAAAAGAGACATTGCACTTGTAAAATCTGTTATCCTTTTTGATTGAGAAGAAATGGCAACCACAGTGGCTACTTCACTCCCTCAATTCAATGGGCTAAGGCCCCAATTCTCAGCTGCTCCCGTTAGAACCCTGGTCAGTCAGTTTTTTTTTTTTTTTTTTTTTTTTTTTTGTGGATTTTTTTTAGCTAGACTTAGTTTTTGTTTGCATTTTTTTTTTTTTTTTTTTTTTTTTTTTTTGGTGAATTTTATTACGCTAGACTTAGTTATTGCATGCTTCATATGTTATTTCATGCTTTATAAAACGTCGCAATAGTAATAATGATAACAGTAATTTCATGATTGTAAGAAATAAAAAAAATAAAAAAAAAACTAAACTAAATCTGACCAAAATCAAGGACACAACAAAAGTTTTGCAGAAAAACCTAGGAAATCCTATGATTAGCATGGTTTCCATAGGATATATGAAGGTATATTAGGCTATCTCTCACCAATCACCATTCTCTCTCTCTTGGGTAGAATCATTCTTCTGTTTATATTAGGTATATTAGTATTTGATCTCATTGTTCAGGCAGCAGTTCAACCAATGAGGCGCAAGGGTGCTCTCGGTGCTCGCTGCGATTACATTGGCTCGCCCACAAATTTGGTAAGAACTAGAATATTTTAAAACCTTAAAAAAAATTATATTCATCACGACTGATCGAATAACCCCAAGTCTAATCTAAACTCTGGTTGGATCAGAATGAGTATGACTGCTCTGAAACCATATTTTATATCATAGAATCCACTATATTTCTTTTTTCTTTTTTCTTTTTTTTTCGAAAGAAAAGTAAAAGCTAAAATAATTTTTGAATTAATCAAGTTGATCTACATTTATGTTAATGCTACAGATTATGGTGACCAGCACAACCCTAATGCTTTTTGCTGGAAGGTTTGGGCTAGCCCCGTCTGCAAACAGAAAGGCAACAGCAGGATTGAAGCTTGAGATAAGGGACTCAGGGCTGCAAACTGGTGACCCGGCCGGTTTCACCCTTGCCGACACCTTGGCTTGTGGAGCCGTTGGCCACATCATTGGAGTTGGGGTTGTTCTTGGCCTCAAGAACATTGGTTCACTGTAAAAAGCTTTGCTTAATTTATTATAGGTGTTTGGTTTGTAAAAACTCTTGTATTATGCCATAGTCCAATGCTTTTTGTTACCGGTAATTCTTCAAGCTAACACACTTCTAATCCTTTTTAAACAAAGAAAAGAAGAAAACTGAAAATTAAAAAATTAAAACATAAGCAATCTTCCGAAAGGGCACTTATATTTATCACCATTACTTCGGTTGTATTTCCGATAACTATATCACCTTGTCTTTTTATTTTTTATTTTTCAAGGATATCCATTAACATATTAGCAATAACAAAGCCACGTAATAACACAACAAAATGTTCCAAATGAAGAAGTAAGGGAGAAGGATATTTCCCCCTTTTATTGAGGCTGTAGTAAAATTCGAGTGGCACTACAAATAATTCAAGAAGAGAAGGGAAAAAATCAAAGAGATTTAAAAGAAAGAAAAAAACAATGTTTTTGTTTGGTCAAGTATAAAATTGAAATGAAAAATAAAGGTGGCCGAATTAGAACCTTAAGAGGGACGAAAATACAATACGACATTATTCTAACATATATATTAGTCCTAAAGGGGTGCTGTAAAGGGACGAAACGTTTCTCTCTGTTAGAGAATGGGGATGAAATGTTTCTCCCTTTTTTTTCTTTACAAAAACCTTTTATTTCTGCTATTTTCCCCTTCCTTTCTTTGGGGCCTCATTTTCTTTTCTGTGTGCTATTAGTCTCTTTTCTCCTTATTTGCTCCTTTAATTCCTAATTTTTATTTTTTCTTGCACCCTTACTTAAGTTTATTATCATTTTAATCCTTATTTATTTATTATTATTATTATTATTTTTATTATTTTAAATCTAGTTTTTTTTTTTCTGTTTCTTTGCTTTCTTTTGAGCCCCCTTTTCTTTTCTACTTGTTTTATGGCCCCTTTTTTTTTCTTCTTTATTCCTTTAATCCCTAATTTTTATTTTTCCTCTCACCCTTATTCTTTATTTTAAATCTATTTTTTTTTCTGTTTCTTTGCTTTCTTTTGAGCCCCCTTTTCTTTTCTACTTGTTTTATGGCCCCTTTTTTTTCTTCTTTATTCCTTTAATCCCTAATTTTTATTTTTCCTCTCACCCTTATTCAGTGGCAGATTTTTTAGGGGGCGTAAATTGAATAAAAATTTTAAACTAAAACTATAATACAACAATTTTTTTAGCTTTAGTTATCTATTTGTATGTTTGATTTTCCTAAATGAATTAAGCTATAGAGTCTAATTCTACTTTTAAAGTTTAGAGTCTAAAAAATTATGCATTTATTTTGCAGCGTAGATGATTTTAATTTGTTTGAGATTCTAAATTTGAAACATTATTAAATAAAAAATCAAACTTAGGGTATAATTGAGTTTTTCTTAAAAAAATATGCAATGTATTGTAATTAAAAAAAATCTCTGGGGGCAAATAAAGTAAGGATTTGTAAAAACGTTTTAGATTGGGGTCAAAATACGAAAAGTCTATGGGCCTGGGGCAGCTGCCCCGTCGGCCTATTGTAGTTCCGCCCCTGTCCTTATTTAATGTTATTATCATTTTAGTCTCTATATTTTATTATCTTATTTCATTTTAGTCTCTTTTACACCCCTTTTTTTTTTACTGCTTTCCTTTCTTTCTTTTGGGCCCCTTTTCTTTTCTATTTGCTTTGTTGATCCTTAATTTTTGTTTTTCCTTTCATCCTTATTTAATCTTATTATCACTTTTATTTAATCTTATTATCATTTTCGTCCCTTTTCTACTTTTTTTTGCTTCTCTTCTTTTTATTGTTTCTTTGTCCCCTTTTGTTCTTTACTTACTTTTTTAATCCTTTATTTTTATTTTGCCTCTCACCCTCTACTTAATCTTATTATTTTAGTCCCTCATATTTATTTTTCTATTTTTTCCTTGCTTCTCTTCCTTTTTATTTGTTTTTGGGCCCCCCTTCTTTTTTATTTACCTTTTTAGTTCCTTATTTTTATTTTTTCTCTCGCATTTATTTAATCTTATTATCATTTTAGTCTCTTTTTTTTTTTACTGCTTTCCTTTCTTTCTCTTGGGCCCCTTTTCTTTTCTATTTGCTTTGTTGATCCTTAATTTTTGTTTTTCCTTTCACCCTTATTTAATCTTATTATCACTTTTATTTAATCTTATTATCATTTTAGTCTCTTTTCTACTTTTTTTTGCTTCTCTTCTTTTTATTGTTTCTTTGTCCCCTTTCGTTCTTTACTTGCTTTTTTAATCCTTTATTTTTATTTTGCCTCTCACCCTTTACTTAATCTTATTATTTTAGTCCCTCATATTTATTTTTCTATTTTTTCCTTGCTTCTCTTCCTTTTTATTTGTTTTTGGGCCCCCCTTCTTTTTTATTTACCTTTTTAGTTCCTTATTTTTATTTTTTCTCTCGCATTTATTTAATCTTATTATCATTTTAGTCTCTCTGTTTTTTTTTTTTTTTTTTTTTGCTTTTCTTCCTTTTTTGTTTATTCTTGTTTATTTTCTCATTTTTATTTTTAAAGATTCTAGTAGTCTTTTTTATGCACTTTTATTAAATTGTTTTCTCACCCTCATGTTCCAATTAAAATATAATTTTTTAAAAGAGTCTCTAATGCAATTCTTATTATTTTATTCTAACTAAAATTAACTAAGATATCTATTATTAAAAATATATATATATAAATAATACAATAATCAAATTTAATGTAAAGATAGAACCTATAGAACTACCCCACATTGCACGTGGCCTCCGCTAGTTTGTTTAGAAGATTCTAGTAATCTTTTTTATGCACTTTTATTAAATTGTTTTCTCGCCCTCATGTTCCAATTAAAATATAATTTTTTAAAAGAGTCTCTAATGCAATTCTTATTATTTTATTATAACTAAAATTAACTAAGATATCTATTATTAAATATATATATATAAATAATACAATAATCAAATTTAATGTAAAGATAGAACCTATAGAACTACCCCACATTGCACGTGGCCTCCGCTAGTTTGTTTAGAAGGACAGTTGAGGAAACTTAGACCAAAATATATTGCTTCTAACTACAGGATTATTAAGTTCCAAAAAAAAAAACCTACGTGATTATTGTATAGATAAAACAATTACAAAAGATAATGCAAGAAAAGAGTAGATTATCGATTCTAGCCTAAATTAAACAATATATCTATATGTTTTTAGTCGGTAAAAATACAGACTCTTTACAATTGTCAAGCTTAGACTCTACAACAAAGCAACTCATCATTGGCTCCATACATTGTATTATTTTTTAAAAGCCTAAATCGTTTAAGAAAATAAATCCAATAATGTCTTCATTCGGAGTGCCAAAAAAAAAAAAACCTTAAATTTAGTATCCAATTAAAAAGTTTAATTCAATGATTGACCTTAAGTTAGGACAAAAAATTTTCCAAAAATCTTTGTTGCTTTCTTAAATTTGTTGAGCAACTTGCCAATTCACTAAAAGTTCAAAAGGACAAAGTTTGGTTTTAGGCTCCATAGCAGCTAAAAAAGGAAAGGATAACTTCACCAAATTGTAGGAAAATTCATTTTGTAATTAAAGTGTCTAAATTCAACTAAAAAAAGTACAATGAACCTCTATAAACTAATACCGGATTAATTACATAAATATACATCCTAATTTCATCTTTTTATTAATTAAATATATGATTTTTTAGATGTTTAAAATGTTATCATATATTATCCAAGGGCATGTTTGTCTTTTAATGTTTATTCCTTAAAAAAAAAAAGCCTGACAGCTTAGAGCAAAACGTCTTTCTTAAATGTGAAAGATACTTTGTGATTTCTAAAAACATAGTAATAAAATTAAAAGAAATTGAAGCTAGAAGTTATACTTATGTAATTACCTCTACTAAAGGTGTATCTCCATTTAAGCCATAAAATCAAAACTAATCGTTTGGAAGCTGCTAGAAATTGTTGGAAACTGCTAGAAATGGTTGGAAAATGGCTTGTTAAGCCATATTAAAGGCTCATTTTGGAAAAGGACCCAATTAGATTTTGGGATGGGTCTCGATGGATTTGCGTTCTCTGTCGCGAGGAGATCGAAATCGATTATTCATACACTCAAAATGGATATTGGGTGAATGAGAAATTAATGTTCTAAATATGTCACTTGGAGTGATTAATGTAGTTAGAAATTACAAAAATCCCATATTGGCTAGGAATGAAGCCTTGGTGGTGTTTATAACTGATTGCACTTTAAAACCTAAGTAAGCATGTATACCAGAGAGGCTCCTAATGTGTGCGCCCGCGACCTGCAGACAAGAATACCGGACCGGAAAACCCATTCCGTGCGAGCTTTATTTTACAATTTTTCTTTTATTTTTTCCAAGCAGGTTAGGGGCCTAATGTGTGCGCCCACAACCTGGGCCTAATGTGTGCGCCCGCGACCTGGGCCTAATGTGTCCGCCCGCGACCTGCAGACACGAATACCGGACCGGATAACCTATTTCGTGCGAGCTTTATTTTGCAATTTCTCTTTTTATTTTTTCCAAGCGGGTTAGGGGCCTAATGTGTGCGCCCGCAACCTGGGCCTAATGTGTGCGCCTGCGACCTGCAGACACGAATACTGGACTGAAAAATCCGTTCCGTGCGAGCTTTGTTTTGCAATTTTTCTTTTTATTTTTTGCAAGTGGGTTAGGGGCCTAATGTGTGCGCCCGCGACCTGCAGACACGAATGCCGGACCAGAAAACCTGTTCTGTGTGAGCTTTGTTTTACAATTTTTCTTTTTATTTTTTCCAAGCAGGTTAGGGGCCTAATATGTGCGCTCGCGACCTGGGCCTAATGTGTGTGCCCGCGACCTGCAGACACGAATACTGGACCGGAAAACCCGTTCCGTGCGGGCTTTATTTTGTAATTTTTCTTTTTATTTTTTCCAAGCGGGTTAGGGGCCTAATGTGTACGCCTGCAACCTACAGACATGAATACCAGACCAGAAAACTCGTTCCGTGCGAGCTTTGTTTTACAATTTTTCTTTTTATTTTTTCCAACTAAAATCTGAAACTGCTTCATTAGTGGATGATTAAAGCTGCATTAGTGCAGGGGGCGAAAACTGCAGCAATAACCAGCATTA